TCTCTCTCTCTTTCTTTCTTTCACTGTCTCTTAATATCTCTAAATTTCTTCATTTTCTCACTTTCCCTTTTTCACGTTGTTTTTCTTCTCCCATTTCATTCTTTTTTCTTTTTTTTTTCAATACTTTCTCTCTCTCTCTCTCTCTCTCTCTCTCTATCTCTTTCTCTCTTTTTCTCTCTCTCTCTTTCTCTCTCTCCCTCTTTCCATCTTTCTCTCTTTTCTGGTCTATATCTTTTTATTTGCCTAGACTGTATAGACACACCCCACGTTGCACTGCGTAAGCGAGGTGATGAGAATGAATGATGTAAAAGCAAAGGAAAGTGAGCAAAAAAGACAGAAGGTAACAAACGAGAGAGAATGTGAGTTATGAGGCAAGGAAGGAGTGATAGGTAATGCTATTACAATAAGTCCGTCTATACACGTACACACGCACACATGATGGCATACACACACACATACACATATACACATACACACACACATATACACATACACACACACATATACACATACACACACACACAAAAACAGTTGCAAATATACACCAACACATATTTGTATATAAACCAGCTAGTATGTTTATATGATTACATACAATAAAAAATACACATAAATACATACACAAACTTGTATACATGTATATACAATACAAACATTCACAAATACACGCAGTATCAATTGTTATTTATGAGTGTGAATTTTATGTATAAAACATGTGGTCTTCATCCAATTATAATAATTGCAATACTGTGTACAATATGCTGGGTATAATTATGCAGTTAGAAGTACACAAAATATACATTACATTCGTTTGTTTGTAATTTTGTATATGTACATATATTTGTATTTGTATATGTTTGTAATGTGCGTTTATTTGTATATATTGTATATGTTAGTGTATAAGTCAAGTATGATGCCAGTTTTTGCTTTGTTCGTATTTTTTTGTATAATGTTTATGATTGTTTGTATGTTTGCTTTTTTAGCGGTAACAAGTTTGTGATTTTTGTTCATAATGTAATATGTTTAGAAATGTGTGTTTGTCTGCTTGTGTGTGTTTGTCTGTGTGTTTGTTTATGTGTGTGTGTGTGTTTGTTTGTGTGTGTGTTTGTATGTGTATTTGTTTGTGTTTGTGGGTTTGTGTGTGTGTGTGTTTTTTATCAACAATGATTCCCGCTTTAATGTTTGGTCGTATTTGCATTATGCACGTTTTTCAAGTAAATAAATAATAATAAGCGAAAATTAAAAAAGTTATTGAGTGAGAAAAATAAATATAAACAAGTAGAAAAATAAATATATAAATAATAAATATTTCTAAAATCTTTCAAAAAATATTCCATTCAGTTCATTCATTCGTCAAAATTTTTTGACAATAAATTCATTTTCTAATATTTCCGAGGTAGAGGGAATCTAAAGATTTTTATCCAATTAGAAGCTGGGGTTGCTTTATGACGTAAAAAGAGGACGGCGTTTGATTGGTTCGCATTCGCAGTTAGGCATTTAAAAGCTGGAATAACTCTCTTGCTTATTCATGTGTGTGGGATAGTACATGCCGGTTTTTGTTTGATGTTTGGAGATTGAGTGTTGTTGAGTTTGTATGTCTTTATTAAATTTTAGAAAGTTCTAGTTGGATGTTGAAATTACATCTTCGTGAATAAATAACTCAAACGTCTCTGACGCAAAACCGTGTAAGTGTCCCAAACATTTATAAACATTATTACATTATTACATTGATGTATTGAGCGAATGTACAAATTTTAATTTATTTGTGAAAAATTACAAGTTTCCCAATGGAAAATGATAAGATTTAAGGTTTCATTGGACGGATTTCACGTAAACTAACCACAATTCATTAAAAAAAATCAGATAATAAACCAATAAGTAAACTAACACAAAGCAAACACACGCACCAGACACGCCACACTCACACGCACGCACACAAACAATCAGACGAACACACGCACAGAGCACAGAGGCAAACAAACAAGCAAAATGTAACCCACCGCACGAACATAGCCCCGTAAATAACCCCGCAATTATGCACATAAATCTACAAATTCTAACATGCCTGGCACACACATACAAACGAATGCACACATACACACGCGCGCACACATACACACACCTAGATTAAACACGTGTACCTTAGGACACACAAGTACACAGACAAACAAACACAGATACGCAAAACTTATAAACATTTCATTCCTGCAAAACTTTTATTTTCGAGGCGTAACTATTCAAAAGTGTTTTTTTTCTCATTTTATTTCAAACGTTTCGGCGAATTGAAAATTTATTTTTTTCGATTGAATTGCAGAGTTTAAGAAGGGTAGGTTATGACTGGAATGAATTTTTTGCACCACTACAACTCTATCCATTCCTTCAGACATCTTTGCCATATTTGTTGGAATATAAATGGTAGTAATATTATTATTATAATTATTATTGTTATTATTATTGTTGTTGTTATAATTATCATAATTTTTGTTATTTTATTATTTTTCACAAAAGTAATAATAAAAACGACAACCATAATTAGTATTATTGAAATAATTTGAACAAGTTAGTATAACACGCTGCAAGTACAAAAAATTACTCTTGTTCATTCGTACATACATTCTTACACATAAATACATAAACATATATATACATACACACATACAAACATAAACACACTTATACATGCATATTCACTCACACACACACAAACAAACAAATACAGACAATAAAAGTATGTATACATCAATTTTACGTTACATACGTATTACACGCACACACATACACATAAATACAAACACCCACATACACACATACACACATATTTGCACATATAGCCACAAAAACCAACACACATACACACAAGCATATTTACACACACACCTCACATACACATACCGACACACATACACACACACAGACAAACTCAGCAACATTATAAAAGTATGTAGGCATCAATTTCACGTTACATTTACTTCAATCTAGAGCTGCTGAACTCCAAGGTACAATATGTACCAATGCAAAGCTTCTTATGTATTAGACTTTCTTATTTGTATTTTTTTTTCTTTTTTTCTTATTTTGGATCATGAATGCGTTTAATTTAATTTTTATTTTTTAATGTTTATATTCGTCTGGCATTTTCATAAAGTTTTTCGGCGTTTTTCTCTATTTTTTTAGATTCTGAAATGTATTTTGTATTTCACGTATGTTTAATTTTGTATACCGGGTGTTTGTATGTTTGTATTTTATCTTTCTATCTCGTCTGTTTGTTTTTGCGTTATTGCATGTGTTGTTGTATGTGCTCTTGTATATGTTGTTGTATGCGTTGTTGTATGTGCTGTTGTATGTGTTGTTATATGTGTTGCTGTATGTGCTTTTGTATGTGTTGTTATATGTGCTGTTGTATGTGTTGTTGTATTTGTGGTATCTGTGTTGAAGTATTTTGTGGTAATTCTTTTGTATTTATGTCGTGTTATTGTATCGTTGTAACTGATGTTGTTGTTGTCATACATCATTTTGACTGCAGCATGTTTTATAACTCGGGTCTAGTGATCTATGGTTGGTTGAATGAGTTTATGCACAAGTATGTGTGTGTGTGTTTGTTTGTGTGTGTGTGTATGTTTGTGTATGTGCGTGAAAAATGATGGTTTATTTCTCCATTTTTGTTTGTTTTTTTAATTTCTTGTTTATTAATATTTCGCATTCTGTCGCTGTCTAACTGATTTTTACTTAAGTTAGGATTGTATTTTATACACTGGCGGTTGTTAATCATGGCTTGTTCTCTCTACATTCCTCTTTCTCTGACAATTATTTTCAAGTTTTGTTGTTTCAATGTTGCAAGTTTTGTTGGTGTTTTGTCTGTTTGTTTGTTTGCTTGTTGCTTTCTCTTATTTTTCCTATTTCTTCCATTTTTCTTACAAATTTTAAAAGTTTATCTCCATTTAATCTGGTTTCTTCTCTTTGTTTTTATTTGTTTGTTTGTATGTATGTTTGTATACAGCTTGTACGTTGTTTGTTTTGTATTATTCGCCATTTATTGTCGACCATTAAATAGATGTTAATGTTAGTAAATTACTAGTAGGTTGGTAGGTTGGTTGGTAGGTTGGCTGGTTGGTTGGTTGGATGGTTGGCTGGTTGGTTGGTTGGTTGGTTGATTGGTTGGTTAGTTGGTTGGTTGGTTGATACTGGTAGGTGCATGGAGCTTTCTGAATTTTTAATGTATGCTGATTGATGATGGATTGTTCTGTTATGGATCATTCATACAATTTTGTTTTTTTGTTCTTTTTTTCATAATTTTTTTCTTTTCTTTGTTATTTGTTTTTAATTGTTATGCAGATATAATTCTATATTAATCAGATAAGGCTTAGTGTGCGTGTCTTATTGAACGTTAGTGCTGTGACTCAGTGTGTATGTGTGTGTTCGAAGTGTATGTGTCGTACGAGTGCGCTTATGTATGTGTGTTTGTGTGTGTGAATAGGGTTAATATTGTTATAACCGTGCTACCGAACGCACTTGACTAGATTCTAGCGTATTCTGGAATGTTCTAGTGACTGGAGCATTCTAGAGTATGCTAGAATCGGACCATCGGGAAGAATCTAGAAACGACGCTTGCGAAGAGTATATAAGCGCACGTCGCAAGATATTTGTGATTAGTGATATTCGTGATTAGTGATATTAGTGATTAGTGAAATTCGTGATTTTGTGAATAGCGATTCGGTGAATTATTTAAAGCGATATTTGATTTGTTTGTTGACGTTGTCACAGCGATAGATTTTGAACAATTTAAAAGTTAATTGTTGCGTTAATTTGAATCTGCTAGAAATAAACGATTAGTTGATTTCTTCTGTAAATAAAGTTTAATAACTAATAACTGTTTGGAGTATTTTATTCAATCGAAGATTTGAACCTGTCGCATCGTAAATCGGTTACGACAGCCAGTATTATAACATTGGTGTCAGAAGTGGGATCTTCGACTAACGAGTTACTACTCATAGAAAAAGAACACGATGTCAAAACTGTGTGGTTTGAACGTAGTTCAGCTACGAGAAGAACTACAGAAACGAAGCCTTGTCACAAGTGGCAACAAAGAAGTACTTGTAGTACTTGTAGAAGCTCTCATTGACGAAGGTAAGAACCCAGACGAATTCAAGTTTGATGGTGCTGACGAAGACAATGAAATTAGCACAGGCACGTTTACAACCGCTAAAATGATGGAACTTCTACTTAGTATGTCAACGGAAATGAAACAGATCAAAGAACAGTCGTTCGGACTGTTCAGTCCGAACGACAGACAGAAGAGTTAAAACAACAGATCAAGGAACAGTCCGAACGACAGACAGAGGAGTTAAAACAGATCAAGGACCAGCTAAAACACGTAAAATTGGAAGTGGCAGAACAGATAGAAAAACAGTCAACAAGAATAGAAATGATCGAGCAGAAACTTGATCGTCAGACCGTTGAGGTAGATCACAAGATAGACAAATTGAAGCAAGAATTGGAGCAATCCAAAAAAATGGCCATGCCGTTAGATCACGCATCCGGAAGAACTTTGAAGGTACCAGCATTTGACGGAGAGATGTCTTGGAACGTTTATAAAACCCAGTTCGAAGCAGCGGCAACTAGTAACTGTTGGAACGAAAAAGAACGAGCAACAGCACTGATACTGGCCCTGCGAGGTTCAGCAGCAGAGGTTCTTCAGACGATTCCTGCGGAGAACCACTTCAACTATGAAGTTCTGGTTAGCGCGTTGGATTTACGTTATGGTGAAGAACACATGAAACAGATTTATCGGTCTCAGCTTAGAAACAGAACGCAACGATCTGGTGAATCCATTCAGCAGCTAGCACAAGATATCGAACGGTTGACATTGCTGTCGTATCCGACATCAGACCCCGAGCATAGAGACGAAACTGCCCTGGATACGTTTATCAAAGCCCTTCGTGATTCGGAACTCAAACAATCCCTTCTTTTGTCAGATAAACAAAAACTCAAGGATGCCGTTGCGCACAGTCTCACTTTTGAATCGGCACAGCAGGCATCAAAAAGTGACGTACGTCTACGCCAAGTACATGAAGAATGCTCTTGCCAGAAGGTGGTTGTGAAACGCGAACCTCAACAGCATGGTGCACCCCAATGCTGGATTTGTGGTGAAAAAGGCCATCTACGTCGTGATTGCCTAAAAGATAACTACTGCCAAAATTGCGCGACAAGATGGCGCAAAAGAAAGAGAAGATGATCCTGTATCACGATCGGCCTCTTCTAACGAAGGGGCGGAAAACTAATAAGAGCCAACTTTGTGGGGCAAAGGTTGGCTAGTAGAATTGACGCCCCCAATACGGTAATTAACGTTTCCAGACTACATCGAAATCGAAACGACCTATGGCTGAACGGAAAAGTTGATCAACGAGAATGTGTAATTACAGTCGACACCGGAGCAACAAAATCGATTTTAAGATCTGATTTGGTACCCAATCTGAAGAAAGAGACTTCTAAGAGGTGTCGACTTTCTGACAAAATATGGGTTCAAAATTGTTTTAGAAAAACGCATTCTTAGATGGAGAAATACAGAAGTGATAATGGGGGATAGCGACGAAAAATGCATTCGAGTGACAGTCGATTGTGACATAGAACTACCTCAATCATCTGAAAACATCGTATGGGGCAAGTTGAATTGCGATCCAAGGGGCCATCAGTTCTATTTGATGGAGCCAACCTCAAAGACAAATGTACAGAACGCGGTCATTGGAAAATGCCTGGTAGAAGCGAACAAAAATGGTCTTATTCTTGTCAGAATAATGAGTACCGCTAAACACACTATTAGAATTTAAAAAGGCGAGAAAATAGGTAATTGCCAATCAATAAATTTGGTGAAATCATTTGATATGGAGCAACAGGAAAAGGTTCTACCAACTGACAAAAGTAGACTCAAAGAACTTACCAAAAATCTACTGGATGAACTCAATTTGTATCAAGAAGACCGTCTAAAAGCCGAGGCGTTGATTGCTGATTTTGCAGACGTGTTTTCAACCGGTGACAATGACCAAGGTAAAACAGCTCTGGTAACTCACCGAATTGATACTCAGGATTCGAAACCGATTCGACAAGTACCACGACGTCTTCCTCTAGCAAAACAAACAGAAGTAAACGAAATGATAACGACAATGCAGAATCAAGGCGTCATCGAACCGTCATCAAGTCCCTGGATTTCGCCAGTTGTTTTGGTAAAGAAGAAGGACGGCACTACCCGTTTTTGCGTTGATTATAGGAAGTTAAATGATGTGACTAAAAAGGACAGCTATCCGTTACCGAGGATTGATGACATCATGGACACCCTATCTGGCTCAAGTTGGTTCTCTACGCTTGATTTGAAAAGCGGATACTGGCAAGTAGAAACCGACAAGAACGATCGCGAAAAGACAGCGTTTTCTATCGGATTGGGGTTGTGGCAATTCACCGTCATGCCATTTAGATTGTGCAATGCTCCAGCTACATTCGAGCGACTGATAGAATGTGTATTGCAAGGTCTTAACTAGAAAACCTGTCTTTTCTATTTAGACGACATAATTGTTCTAGGAAGAACATTTGATCAACACGTCGAAAACTTACGAGAGATCTTCACAAGTCTTCGGGTGGCAAATTTAAAGCTGAACGTTAAAAAATGCAGGTTATTTTTTAAAGAAGTTAACTATTTGGGACATGTGGTATCTTCAGATGGAGTTCGAACCGATCCCAGCAAGATAGAAATTGTGAAAGACTGGCCAACTCCAAAGGATAAAAATGAATTGCGCAGTTTTTTGGGATTGGCAACGTACTATCGACGTTTTGTAAAGGATTTTGCAAAAGTTGCCAGACCTCTCCACCAACTTACCGAGAAGGACCGAGTTTTCAACTGGAATACCCTATGCGACTCAGCATTTGAAAAGTTAAAAGTTGAACTATGTGATGCTCCTTTGCTAGCATATCCAGTTCGTGGCAAGACGTTTGTGTTAGATACTGATGCAAGTAACAATGGAATCGGAGGCGTCTTGTCACAGCATATAGACGGAGAAGAAAAGGTGCTAGCGTATTATAGCAGAGGATTCACAAAGCCCGAACGAAACTATTGTGTGACCAGAAAGGAGTTACTAGCAATAGGCAATGCAACAAAACACTTCCACAAGTACCTTTATGGACAGAAATTTCTTCTCCGAACTGATCATGCAGCTAAAATGGATGGTTGGAGCGTTTACAAATGTACGACTTCGAGATCGTGCACCGCAAAGGAACAACTCATAGTAATGCTGATGCTCTCTCACGTCGACCATGTTTACCAGGATGCAAATATTGCTGTCGTCACGAGGAGAAGATACAATCGGAAGACATAAGAGCAACAGCAATATCAGTGGATGACGGTTGGACACCGACGGATCTTGCTGATGCACAGTTTGCGGATGAGGACCTACAACATCTGATCACATGGAAAAAGGAGGGCAAGCAACCGGACTGGCAAAGCATCTCAGAATATAGTACCGTGTTAAAGGGTTATTGGGCTCAGTGGGATTCTTTGTATTTGGAAGGGAATTTGCTGAAACGAAAATGGGAATCAGCTGATGGATCAAAACACCGCATGCAAATTGTAATACCAAGAAGTAGAACGACCGAAATCCTTGATGAAATGCATGGCGGCCCTTCTGGGGGACATTTAGGAGTGAACAAGACCCTTGACAAAATACGAGAAGGATTCTACTGGCTTCACGTTAGAGAAGATGTAGAGAGCTGGTGTCGAAAATGTAACACATGCGCTTCAGTCAAAGGACCCAAAAGAAGGCTAAAAGGAGCAATGCAAATCTACAATGTTGGTGTCCCCTTTGAACGGATTGCTATAGATATTGCTGGACCCTTTCCGGTATCAGATTATGGAAACCGTTACATTCTGGTTGTAGCGGACTATTTCAGTAAATGGCCTGAGGTGTTTCCAATACCCAACCAAGAAGCATGTACCGTCGCTGAGGAAATTGTACTCAATTGGATTAGTCGATATGGTGTCCCATTGGAACTCCACTCAGATCAAGGTCGAAATTTTGAGTCACAACTGTTTGGTGAAATGTGCAAGCTGCTGGGTATAAACAAAACTCGAACGACACCTCTTCACCCACAGTCTGACGGTATGGTGGAACGATTTAACCAAACCCTGATTGAACATATGGCTAAAGTAGTCGACGAAAATTAACGGGATTGGGATCGTCATATACCATTGTTTCTTATGGCATACCAGAGTGCTATCCACACAACTACTGGAGAAACGCCATCAAAAGTTCTGTTTGGGACTACCTTAAGAACTCCAGCTGATGTGAAATATGGGTACTACCTGAACCACACCAACCATTAACAGAATACGTGGATAATCTTTGACAGCGATTAAACCAAATCCACTGTTACGTACGTCTTAAAATTATGAAAAACACGGAGGCGGCCAAAACCAGATACGACTTGAAAGGAAGCAGTGGCGGTTTTGCTGTCGACGAGTTAGTTTGGCTGTACAACCCACAGCGAAAGAAAGGACGTTCTCCAAAGCTCCAGCGAGGGTGGGAAGGACCTTATCAAGTCATCACCCGCTTGAATGACGTCGTCTACCGTATTCAGGAATATCGGAAGCCGAGAGCAAGAATGAAGATCGTTCATTTGGATAGACTGGCTCCGTACCATGCGGACACCGGAACGAAAGCTGTTCGGGACGAACAGAACTAAGAAGGGTGTACTGTTATAACCGTGCTACCGAACGCACTAGATTCTAGCGTATTCTGGAATGTTCTAGTGACTGGAGCATTCTAGAGTATGCTAGAATCGGACCATCTAGAAGGATCTAGAAACGACGCTTGCGAAGAGTATATAAGCGCACGTCGCAAGAAATCTGTGATTAGTGATATTCGTGATTAGTGATATTAGTGATTAGTAATATTCGTGATTAGTGATATTCGTGATTAGTGATATTCGTGATTAGTGATATTCGTGATTAGTGATATTAGTGATTAGTGAAATTCGTGATTTTGTGAATTGCGATTCGGTGAATTATATAAAGCGATATTTGATTTGTTTGTTGACGTTGTCATAGCGATTGATTTTGAACAATTTAAAAGTTAATTGTTGCGTTAATTTGAATTTGCTAGAAATAAACGATTAGTTGATTTCTTCTGTAAATAAAGTTTAATAACTAATAACTGTTTGGAGTATTTTATTCAATCGAAGATTTGAACCCGTCGCATCGTAAATCGGTTACGACAGCGAGTATTATAACAATATATTTGTGTGATTGTGCTTCTATGTGCGTGTGTATATGTGTGCGCGCGTCTGTGTGTGAGTACGTGTGTGTATGCTTGTATTAGCAAAATGCATGTCTGTGTGTTTGTTTGTTGTTTATGTGTTTTTATTTCTTATGTGGTTTTACTTATATGAGTAGGCAAAAACAAGATGAATGATTGTGTAGGTACATGCTGGTTTGAAAAATAACATCCTTCTATTGTAATGCATTGGGCTATTTATTTGATACCTATTTGACGTTTTTGCATAGAGATTTTCAACTGTTTTATTTCAATGAATTAATTTCAAATAATGGAATAGAATTTTTTATTACATTAAATAATAAATTGAGATTATGATAATAGGAAAAATTCACTTAATGTGAGCCTAAACATTCAACGAAATAAATTATTTTTTTTAAAGAGAGAGAGAGAGAGAGAGAGAGAGAAAGAGAGAGACAGAGAGAAGAAGAGAGAACCAAACGCACAACGTATAGTATTGCATAGTATTGTTTGTAGAAACCTAAAAATACCCATTACATCAGTGTTTAATTCCTAAACAACATGCATGTTAGCAGCATTAACAAAAATAAGATGGAGACATTGGAAGTGAACGGAAAATATGGTACCACCAATGGCATTTCTGCTGCTGTTTATAAAATATGCTTGTTTTTCATGCAGTGTTAAAAATTTAATAGAAAATGAATTTTTTTCAAAACACAAAGTTAATCACATAGGATGAACAACAGCTGGAAAAAGAGAATAAATGACGAAATTAAAATGAATGAATGAATGCATGCATGAATGAATGAACGAACAAACAGATGAACGAATAAATAAATGAATGAATACATAAATAAATAAATGAATAAACTAAATAAAAAACAAATATGAATAAATGAACTAATGTAAACATAATACTCCGAACTGGAACACGACAACACAGAGGTGAGATAGGAAG